TTAGAAAAATAATGAAATTTCATAATGAAATTTCAGACCAGGGAATGAAATTTCAGACCAGGGAGGCAAATTAAAACCAGAATGATTGGCGGTTCCGTCTGTAGGTCAAAATCCACAGACAATTTCAGAATCTTCATTGCTTTGTTTTCAATTCAGTTTATCCTTCTAGCAAAATAAGCGTGTGTAATTTTCTTCATTATTAATTTGAATAAAAATGTCTCTCATTTAATAATCCAATTTTTGAATCCCAAATAAGGTGCATAAGTTCAAATTTCTTGCGAATAAGCTCCGTTTTGGGATAATCATATAAAAATTTTTCAACTAAATTCAGACGACAGCAAGAAGTAAGTTGAATATCTTCAGCTTCTATAGAAAAGATGGTAGGTTTCCCATGCTTCCTACCAGGTTTCTTGATGTTCTCCGTCCACTCAAACAAAAGAGGGAAAGGGCACGATTTAGGTGGACCTGAGGCATGAACACTCGCAAGGGCAGCTGCATACGATCTGTTTGAAGTCATCCGGTGTGGCGGATAGAGGTGCAGCGTTAAGAACAGAGAAGAAAGCAGCTCTGATAAACACGAGAAAAGTCGCTTTAAAACAGTCGAAGTTGAAAAGGAGAACACACTGTAAGACAGAACGAGCAACAGAGGAGCCGCGAAAATCACGAACTGTACCCGCAAGACGGGAAGACGAATTGTACTCGCGAGACGGGAAGACGAGCCGTAGAGTCGGGAGCTCCTGAGCCAGGAAAGCTCGTGAGACTAGAAGACGGGAGACGAGCCGGGCCGCAAAGCCTGGAAAAACGAGGAAGGGGGGGAAGGAAGGGGATTCAGGGGGGATTAAGCGGGAAAAGAGGCTTCAAAGCCGTAACTATTGCTAGAGTTCGTCATGTGACAGAGTCGAGCGCGAAGGAAGACGACGCCATCGTGACACACACACACACACACACACACACACACTATTAGGGTTTCGATCCATGTCGAACCCTAGCAACCCTTACCTTACCGCAAGATCATTTCTCCAGCTTCGTCTCTCCTCTCCGTCGTCGTCATCTCTATTTGAAACCGATGCTCGCGTCTCGTCGCCTCTCCAACAGAGTTCGCATCTCGTCGTTCTATTCAATTACATCTCACGGAAGACGGGAAGGGGTCGCCTCGTTTCCTCCTTTCGTCTTCCTTCTCGACTCAGCTCGACAGCTCGACTGCACCGAGTTTTAGTCTCTTCGATTTCTGACCTGCCCTCTGACCGACTTGGCAAGGCTTATAAGTTGTTATGGAGCTTCCTTCTTCAGTTGAACCTGTCAAAGCCTCCTTTTCCCACGTGGTGGGAAATCCTCAGGTGAAAACGGCGGTTGTCTTACACTCAAGTTATAAGGAATATCGCGATGGTACAAGTGATTACCCATTTATTAAGAATGCAAGTAGGAAAAGTGAGAAAACAACAATTTTTTTCTCGGAGTTGGAAATTTCTATCTTGACTAACAAATTCAAGTTTGCACATATTGGAAAATTTCAGTGGGGGCGCCCACCTATGGAAGTTATCAGGAAAATGTTTGATGATTTTAAATTAGCAGGAAAGTGGGGCTCATGGATGTGAGACATTTATTGATCTAATTAATTGTGGCTGAAGACTACACTCGGATTTTCTCCAAAAAATATCTTAGCATTGCTGGTAAATGAATGAAGCTACTCAAGTGGTCTCCTGATTTTGCCCCTAATCATGAACCTCCTACTGTATCAGTATGGTTCACTCTACCAGGTCTCAAGCTGCACTTTTTTCATCATCAAGTTTTTTACTCTATTCGGGCCATACTTGGAGACCCTATGAAGTTAGATCTACCGACTTTCAACCTAACCAAACCTTTTGTGGTCAGAATACTTGTGGAAAAAAATATTACTTTATCTGACGTTACTGAAGTATGGTTGGGCACAACTCATAATGGATATTGACAAAAAATCGTCATGGAGAATAGTCCGCCTTACTGCTCTCATTGTAAGATGTTTGGGCATACACGATAAATATCATAAGTTTCATCCTAATTTGAAATCTAAAGATCAAGTGAATAAGGATGGATCTAATCCCACTACTCTGGACATATCTGTTCTATCTGGAGGGAAAGCTATCGCAGGACAGGTTTTGGATATCGCTAAAGATCAATCACCTACCATCCCTGCTGAGAAGGTGCAAACCGATCCTTTACCCAACATCGCAGTTCCTGATGAAGAACATCATAGTGCAAGTACAGATCCAAAAGTGCTTATACTGCTCACTGTTATTGAAGACTTACTTACATGCCAAGACACACGGGAGTGTTTCTTTGATTCAATTAAAGATCAGCTGGTACAACAAGCGGTTACTTCTAATGTTAAACATCCTACGCATGTCCGACACACTTTAGACCAATCTACTGATCAGACAAGCCAATATTCGGATGAAGAATGACTGGTCTATTCCAGGAGGAAGAAGAAGATTGGAGGCCGACTCGAGCTTAGAAACTTATTGGATGATACTTTGGTCACTACTGGCAATGACACTCATCTTACCAATTTATTATCTGGCTCTTTTCCTAGAACTAGAGGTAGGGTCAAAGGAAAATTGGGTCGCTCTCTAGCTACCTAATACTACGTTTTTTTGGCATTTCTTTTGTTTAGGTATCTTGTATTTTTCTGTATTTCTAACTTTTTTGAAACATTTTGTATGTGATGGTTATCGTGGGGGACGGGTGTCATTGTTCAGCCATTCCACACAATCTTTATGTATTCTTATTTCCTTTTAACAAATTAGCCTTTGAGCTTTCTCAAAAAAAAAAAAAAATCTTAATAATAATAATATTTTTAACTTTACTAAATGTGGTGCTTGAACTTTATTGAAAAGCTGTGAAATTTTATATCTGAGATTTTTTTATAATCTGATTATGTTCGTGCTCTTAATTTTTTTTGTTGGTATTCATGATTAAAAACTAAGGAAGAAATTTTTGCCAAATATTATCCCTAGCCCCTGTAGATGGATTGCTGCTTTTATCTCCATCAGCATGGCTGAGAATAGACTCTACGATTTTATAGGAGGTGCGGCTGAGTGTTTGGCACTAAACAAATAGATTCTAGATTTTACATATATGAAATGGAAAAAAATTTCTCTAGGTGGAGAACAAGCATTCCCCTCGAGGTTTTTAATTATTCTAACTTTTATTGTCCTTTAATGTAGTATTATTATTCTATTTTAATTGGTCTACAATCTGAAAAATACTCGCAACGTGCGCTTTACCCATTTTTATAAAAAATTACCTTTGATCAAGCATCTAGAATGAGTAGGATATAATTGATGGCATATAAAGTTTATAAAGACGGCATTGTTGATTAGGACAGATTGAGCTTCTTACTATTTAATCTTTGAATCTATACCTTCAGTAATATGTTGTCATTGTCAAGTTTATTGATTGAAGTTTGTGTAAAGTTGTTAAGTTGCTAGGAGGTGCGGCTGAGTGTTTGGCACTAAACAAATAATTTCTGGATCTTATATATATGATGAAATGGAAAATTTTTTTCTGTAGTACGAGAACAAGTATTATCCTCGAGATTTCTCTTTAATTATTCTGCCTTTTATTGTCCTTAAATGTACTATTATTATTCTATTTGCTTGGTCTACAATCTGAAAATTACTCAACATGCGTTTTATCCATTTTTATAAAAATTAGCCATTGATCAAGCATCTATAAGAATTAGGAATTAATTGATGGCATATAAAGTTTAGAAAGACAGCATTGTTGATTAGGACAGATTGAGCTTCTTACTATTTAATCTTTGAATCTATCCCTTCAATAATATGTTGTCATTGTCAAGCTTATTGATTGATTTCTGTGTAAAGTTGTTAACTTGCTGCCCGAAGTGCATCTTTGTTCGAGTTCGCTAATGTATTTTTTTTTATCCAGCACGAGCCAATGTTAAGCCTGATTTGAATTTACAATCATGTTCATGATTATTTATATAATCTTTTTAACTTGCTCAAGCCATAATCGAGCTTTAATTGATCTTAAGAAAATATATTTGATTTGTTGATGTTTAATAATGCTTCTTAAATCATGCACAATTATTCACAAGAATTTACATGAGTTTACTCGGTTTGTTTTTGGTGTTTCAATATTTAAACATTATTAAAATGAAAATAATGGAGATGAGCTCTCATTGTCAACTTTATTGAATGAGTTTTGAGTTGGTTTCTTAACTAGTTGTGCTGAACACCAATATATTCTGGTTTGTAACTTTTGTCGATTCATTTTTACCCTGATTACGGCAACCTTAAGGCTTAAACATTATTTGAGTTAAAAAATCATAGTCAAGCTTTTTTATTTATTATTTTTAAACATGCTTAAGCCATATTGAGCTTTAATTAATCCTGAAAATATATTTGATTTGTTCATATGAAATTTCGAGCCTGTTAAATTATGCATAATTATTCATAAGAAACTAAACTAATTCAATTCTATGTTTTTGTTGGTGTTTAGCATTCAAACGTTATTAAAACTGAAGACATTGAATTAAATAAGTTTGTATAATTTGTAATTATAACGAGCATCCATCATACCTGTGCCTTTATTAATATGTTTCTTTTAGGCTTATATATAAGTTTAATATCAGAACATTTAACGAGAAAATATATATGCGTCATGAAAGCATCAGATGACTACTTCATCCTATTCTTAGCCAAGTACTTGTTACATCAGAAGCGAACAGTATTGTTGAAGCTAATAAACAAACAGGATACTGTTCAATTTTGTTCAGTTGGATGTCAAACTTAAATTTGTTCAGCCATATATCAGCTTCTTAAATTATGCTCAAGTTTGTCTGATTAGGTTATTAAATGAATTTAAACAGTTAATGAAGTTGTCTACTGAGTGAATTGGTTTGTTTAAAAACCTCATTCTGAGCTCCTAGAACTTTGGTATCTTTTGCAAAAACTGTATATGGTACTTTATAAGATTTCCTCTCAACTTGCCATTGCCAGATTTGAAGATGATAAAGATGTTAGTACCTTATATGAGGAGCTATGGGAGGATAATTCGACCAGTGAACGTGTCACTCTTCAATTATATCTGCAAGATATTGTTTCCTTAGTTTTTAATTACATGTCCTCATCATCTTGGGCTAGTAAAAGGAAGGTATAAGTTTAAAAATTGTACCGATATCCTCTTTATTATGGTAGCTTACGATATTTTATTATGATACTTCAGGCTGCAAAGGCAACAGTTAAACTTTGTGTAACGTTGGGTGATTCTGTGTCAGCATCCCACCAAGTGTTACTGGAATGCATTCTCAAAGAAGTGCCAGGTCGTTTTTGGGAGGTATGTGTGCTAACATGATGTAAAACTTCGAACTTCTTTTCATATTAAAGTGTTGTATTTTATGTGAACTGCTTTTTCTATGCCCTTCATCATATTTATGAATGTGATTTTATGGAGATATGCCCCTTATTCTCTTTCTTGAGAACTGATTTATGTTACTGAAATTTTGTTTGGAAATTATGATACCTAAGCTTTTTTCAGACCAGCTTATAGTTGTATGAATATTATTATTTGCGTTTTGTCTTCGATTTTACCCTTTGTTTTCTGACACATGATTGGTTTGTATTTATGTTGTATATTTAAAATAGGCCCATATATCATTTTCCAAGTTTTTGGCCCAAAAATTTGAACTTTGCCACTTTGATCACAGCAATTTTGTTCATCTCTGTTTACGAATTCATCATTTTGTCATTATTTTTTAATTGAAATGTAAGTTTGATAATTATTAAATTCCTTAATAGAATTTAACTAAAATACTCCCTTGCTTCAATTCCTTAAGTACTTTTTAATTTTATTCAAGTACTTTTCATCAGCGAGGTAAGGAGTAAGCGTCGAGGCATTTTGTGGTGTAAGCTTGAGATCGACAAATCACAAAATAACAAGTGTTGCTTTAAGCGCAAATTATATAGTAAGAAGAAACTTATTAGCATTCCAACCTAATAGTACTTTAGAAGGAAGATTTTCATGCATACCACTTAATTCTTATGTATTTACATACCTAGCACCTAAACTTCAATTTTTACTTGTATGCTACCTTATCTATTCATAAAAAGGTGTATTTGACATTTTAAAAGTTAAAATAGTGGTATTGTTTATGTGATATGGAAGATTTGGGTTGTATAAATGTAAAAAGCAAATCTTTGGTGTTAGATACGTAAATATGTGAGAATTTGATAGTATGTATGTAAATCCCCTAAAAGTAATATATTAACACCCTAACATAGTAAAAATAACAAATTATTTGAAATAAGGAGCAATGTGTTGTCATTTCAAATATCAAATTATAAAAAGAGAAGTGTTATACAAATAACTCAATGTAGTTCAATACAACTAGTATTTCTACCACATCTACTACCCTTCATCAAAACTTGAACATAATAAAGTACCAAAATTATAAATTTTAAATTTAAAAGTCATCATCACTCTCATCACTCAATGGGTCTTCATTCCAATTACCAACATAACTATTTCCTTTTTCTTTTTTTTAATCTCAATTGTGCCCATTTTATCTCACTTCTCATCTTTAATATAGTTGATTTTCAGAATTTAGCAGAATTGTTTTATTGATATGAAATGGGGTATAAATACCCTTACGTGAATCCTTGAATAAGAAAGACAAGAAAAAGGAAATAATCATGAAAGGAAACATATAACACATATATCTCAAATTAATCAAGTCATAATAATTACTTGGAGATAAAAGAAATGATATAAAATAGGAAAATCTAAAATAGGAAAAGAAATAAATCTAATCCAAGTAAATAAAACTAGTCTTCATAACTTCTAACAGCAATAAATTATTTTCTAATATACTTTCTAATGCTCCCTCTCAAGTTGAAACATGGTTCACAACCATATTCAACTTGAATTTGAAAATATCAAACAATGGGGGAGAAAGATTCTTTGAGGTAGAAATTGAAATCTTTATCTCATACTGGATAATAAACCCCAAGAGTAGTTAGGGATATTTATAGTTGACTGCAGTTTCTGCAGTGCTTATAGGTAGGCGAAATACTCATAAAGGTAATGTTGCATAAAAGTTTGCAGGGAAGTAGACAACGTACAGCTAACTTCTTGTTGACTGTGGTTGTTTTTATTGTAGTTTCTGTAGTGTTTGTAGATATGTGGAAGGTTTATACAGGTAATGCTACAAAAAAGTTTGCAGGGAAGTAAGCAATCTACAGAAAAGCTACAGAGTATGGTCTGTAGGAAAAAACTCTGGAGTAGGGCCTACTGTAAGAAATGGCTCCGGAGGAAGGTCTGCTGTAGGGAAAGGGAAAAGCTCAGGAGAAGAGCGTGCTTCAGGAAAAGCTCTAGTGGCGTGCTGCTTCAGAAAAAAGCTCCGGAAGAGTGCCTATTGCAGGGAGGTACGATTGCAGGAAAAAAGCTCCGGAGGAGGGACGACTGCAGGAAAAAAGTTCCGAAGGAGGGACTGTTGTAGGAAAGAAGTTCCGGAGGAGGGTCATGAAAAGTGTCGGAGGAAGGTCTGCTACAAGAAAAAGCTCTGGAAAAGGACTTGTTGCGGGGATAAGCTCCAAAGGAGGGCCTGTTGCACGAAAAAAGTTATGGAGGGTCTGCTTTGGGAAAAATTTCCGGAGGGCTTATTTGCTGGAAAATGCTCTGGAGGAGGGACTGTTATAGGAAAAAGTTTTGAAGAAGGGATTGTTGCAGGAAAAAAGTTCCAAAGGAGGGCTGGCTGCAGGAAAAACATTGAAGGTAGGGCTATAGTAAGAAAAAAAAAGCTTTAGATAAGGGTCTGCACCTAGGAAAAGCGCCAGTTGTTAGGCTATGACAGGAAAAAAAAAGCTCTGAAAAAGGATCTGGTGCGGGAAAAAAATCCAGAGCCTTGTTAATTGTTTAGTACTTATAGCATTGGAAGTGACTGCATCTTCAGTCTAGCCCCTTGCAGCTTCGTCATTGTACATTACTACCACCACAAGGCAAACACAGTGGTGAACACAATAATCGTTGATGCTGCCAAGTCTCCCTTTGTTGCTCCTCTTAAAAGCTCCAAATTCTTTACTGCCCATAATAACAGCACTAAACCCAAGCTTCTCTACTCGAGGTAGAGCCTCTCCTTGTCATAGTCCTTTACAATGTGGATCTTGAAGGGGATATGAGACTCGACATGCTGTTGGACAAGATGTTGTTCTTTGGTGATTGTGAAGGTGTTAAAATCTTCCTCAGGTTCCTATCGCGACTGCCCTGAGTCAATCACTTTAGTGGCAACAGTGGGCCGTCGAAACAGAGAGGTCTATCGATCCCCAATCAGCACCATAGACAACAGAAGTTGAGCAAATATGTTGGAGGATGACAACATCGCCAACTCGAAGGTAATTCTAGACAACCTAATTCACAGCATAGGCACTTTCTTCGCTCAGATCTACAACGATCACAATCTGATGACGAGAGCTAGTAGTGGGGTTCGCCGTTGCCTCAGACAAGAAGAAGAGTCGCGGTGATGTTGGTAGAATCGTCTGTGCTGCGGCGGCTGAAGCAAAGGCTACAGGAAACAAAAAAAAAAACTGCAGAAACCTTTTGGGAAACAACAGGGAAGTCTGTAGTAGCATGCAAGAAGGTTCAGCAACAGGCGTCAGCAGAAAAACCGCAGCAGCAGGAGTTTCCAGCCTTCGACGGGAGAGCCATCAGTGAATCTTGTGATCGAACTTTGCAAGGACAGGATTCCAACTAGAAGAAGGGGCCGACAGCTGGGAAAAATAACAGTGGATGGCATGCAGGAGGTTTCCACGATTAGTTATCGTGTTATTGAGTTTTGGCAGCTAGGGCCTGCAGGGAGAGTTCTTGCGGCTAGGGCCTACATGGAGGGAGTTTCAACGGTTAGCGGACCGCATAGGAAGGAGTCGGCAGCGGGAATGGTTGCAGGAGGGAATTTTTCTGATAGGAAAGACTGCATGAGGGAATTCTAACAGTGGGACAAGCTATAGGAGGAAATTTTGGAGGGGTCTGCAAGGAGAGGAATTTTTCGGCGAAAAAAACTAAAAAGAGGAGGTTGAGGAAGGGTCTGCAGCACGACAAAGATTGTCGGTTGTAGGGAATAGGATGTTTCTGACTGTAGAAGACTTTAGGATTTGCTTTAAGGCTTTGATATCATGTTGATTTCATAATTTCGCAAAATTATTTTATTAATAGGAGAAAGAGGTATAAATGTTTTTACATGAATCATGGAATACGAAAGACAAGAAAAAGAAAATAATTATGAAAGGAAAGATATATCACTTTTATCTTCAATTGATCAATTCATGATATTTACTTAGGCATAAAGGACATGACATAAAGTAGGAAAGCCTAAAATAGGGGAAGGAAATAAATCAAATTCAAAGAAATAAATTCAATCCAATGTAATAAATTTAAAATAGGAAACGAAATAAATTCAATCTAAGGAAATAAATCCAATCCTCATAAATTTTAGCAAAAATAAATTATTTCGTAATATAACTTCTAATGAATTTCAATTATTTTTTCTGACGTCGGAGACCTGTGCCCAGCACTGGTGCGCCCAAGACGCGCAGGTACGGCAAATGCCGCACACAATCGACTCGGTCTAGGTGGGGGGAAGGTCGAGCAATCCTTTCTGCGCACGGTTCCCTTCTAGCTCGAGCGAGGCGCACTCCTCTTTACCATAAGACTATAGATGTTATTTTTTGTGTTCAGGTCAGTTTTTGGCTTCAGATTTTTATTGTCGGCATCTCCCCACCGTCATCTCCCACTAGGGTTGTATTTGAGTGCAGGTCGTGCTCTGGTTATATCTTGCTTCAAGGTGGTTATTTTCTCATTGTGTTCCGTCCTTTTCTTCTTGTCCCCTGCTTGTTGCCGCACCCCCCCCCTCCCCCTCTCCCTCCCAAAAACAGTTTAATTGCCTACTATCGAACCACTTACTATTTGTTGCCTCGACAGCCTCTCAACTCGTTGACTAGTCGCAAGACCACCCCTTTGATACCGCTAGGCCTCCATACCACCTACAGCTCTCTATTTTCACTATCTCGACATGCAGCCCACCTCATTCAATCATTGCCCAAGTTGTCTTTTTGTTTGTGTCGTTGTCTTTCTTTTTTCAAGTATCTATGTTTGTAATATCCTTTTAATTTTAGCAACAATATTTTCTTAACATTGTGATTTGGGTTAACTCTAATATCACTTTCTCATATTTAATCAATAATAGTTAATAAGAATATTAATTGGATTTTTGAATGATTACTATGTTGATAGTTGCCATAGCATACATTGTGTAGTCTGAAGGATTTATTAGGGTTATTTTACTTATATTTATTGAAATAAAACTAGATCGCATTGCGCGTGTCTAACAATAACCGAGCGAGGTGGGTTTTGAGGCATGCCTTGCATAATCTGAGGCATAACCTCATTTAGTACCCAATAAGGTGTAAACCTCATTGAACAATCCTCAAGACATGCCTTATATTATAAACTTTATGGGCATTTACTTACGTGCCACCCAATTCTTATGTATTTACATATCTAACACCCAAATTTTTTTTACATTTATATCACCCAAAATTTTCATGACATAAAAATATCACTATTTTAACTTTTAATAGTATAATGTGGCGTGTATGAAAAAATTGAGGTGCAAGTGTTATGTAAATACATATAAATTAAGTGGTATGCATGTGAATTTCCTAAATTTTAAACCATGGTTATATATCATCATTTAGGCTCTCTCCGTCTCTTCGACATTCTATCCTCAACTATATTTTCTATCGAACCCACCTTCCCATGCCTTTTTTCTCACATGCTCTCCATGCAAATGTAGTTTTTCAGCCAAAAAGTATCCATAGAGATTAGTTGTAGCATTTTATGGAATATCCCATTATTTACCCACATAAAGTGCAATAACTAAAATTGATTTTGATAAAGACTGAACTATTATATGACGAACAATATGATGAACAAAATGTGTTGGCTCAGCTTGTTGATAGAGTAGTCATTTTTTTAGTTGCATGTCACAACCTGGCTCTGAGGCTTTGAATTATCAAAGAGTGAACAGACAGTTGGATTGTGAAACTCAATTTCTATTACTAACTAGTACAAATAATCATGGTTATGTGAATTTGAGGTTTTGGAGTGAAGAAATAAGAAATTAAATATCTAATGATATAGGGTTTGTTAAGCTCTGATATCAAATGACACCGTTTTAAAATTCCTAGATGGTGTTTAAGGATCACATTTACTAGGGAAACATTGTATAATGGCAAGAGCACGTAAGGTCAATGGAGTTGGGATGGGGATAGAAGAAGTTTGGCGGTTGTCCGGTCTGTAAATAGCGAAGTAAATAGTGAAACGAAGATTCAAGTAAGGCACAATTGTCGAGGGATGAACCACCACTTGTTCTCTTCAAGGTACATATTTTCCACTAGAAAAAAAGTACAACTCTCCAAATATGAGAAAATAAAAAATTAAAATATCCAAATAATAACCAAATTAAATATGTTCCCACCAGGTTCTAAAACAGCATAGTTATACTTAGACATGAATTTAACCCTAATTATAAATTAAAGTAGATAAATATGACCCGTAAAACCTAACAGGATATTTTCCTGCCTTAAGGGTCTGATGGGATGTAAACTCTGCCCTGCTTGTAATCCCGTATTTGTTGGATTGCGGGTTTCATTCCCGTGTCAAAGAGAGTGTGAGCGGAGGGAATAACAAGAGAGTCAAGTAAGGGATATTTTTCATTGGTTGGCCTTTTTTTAAAAAAAAGGGCATATGACTTACCTGTCCATGAGTTGAAATGGACTCTGACAAGAAGTGAGGCGGTTTTGCAAGGGACCGAACAGGACAGGTGCGAGATTTTTTAGGATTTGCTGATTGGTTTGATTTGTCATTTTTTATTAATAATTCATTTTTTTGACTCACACAACTTTGAATCATTCTTAAACATCAAAATTTTATTTGTGATTTTGCATGTGGGTAAATTTGTGTAAAAAATTTGGGCAATATGCGGTTTATTGTAGGTTATTTTGACATCTGGGGCATGTCAACGCAATGGCTGCTAGAAATTGAGCAACGTCTGAATGATTTTGATTTTTTTTTAAAATTGTGAAATATGAGGCACATCTTGAGGCCCGCCTCATTGTTAGAAGGTGAGAAGTACGCTTCAGCCAAACTATGACGCACCATGAGATGTGGGTCACCTTAAAAACCACCTAAATTTTTGAAGCTATTCGTATTTTTTTTAAAACAAAACTAAAATAATATTGATATACCACATTTATTAACCCTCACTCCTTAACACCTATCGATAACAATTTATGTTGTTGAAGTTCTAATTATCAACATATTTATTATTTTATGAAAATTTTTCATCATTAAAAGTTAGAAAATAACTAGAATTAAAGATAATAAGGAATAAGAGAATATGGATATGACTAAGGATAAGGTGCAAGATAAACACTATATATGCTAATGATTCTAATAAAGTTATTTGAGTGATAAGAGTGATAGGCACTTCAAAATTAAAAATTTAAATATTGATGAGTTGTTATATTCTTGTTTTTGTGAGTGGTAATATGAATGAGAGAGAAAGATTAATGTTAAATTTATTTTGATTGTTATGTTTTGACGCTTTAGTATTTTATCATAATATCTTAATTTATTTTGATTTTTCAATATTTGTATAACCCATCTTATTTATAATTTGATGTTAGGATAATAATGTGTTATTTTTAATTTTGCGCAATTTATTATATTTTACTTGGAATGTTCTTTTATTATTTTTTAATGTGTTATTAAATTAGAATATTAATATATTATGTTTTATTTCACGCTTTATAAGTTATACAATATTTATTAATTTACATAATGTTTTTAAATTTGAGGCTTTTACCTCAAAATATCTTGAGGCTTACACCTCACTTCATGAATGAAAATGCTTTTGGTATGCAATTGCGCAATTATTAACATTGATTTTGATTGAGACTGGGGTGCTTTAAGTCATTAGTACGATGTTGACTTTATTTATTTTCTATTTTTTGCTGTTTTCATGGGTTTGTGGAGCAAGTATGAAGGTCATCGTTCTAATCTTCTTTGTTTTCTTAATTGGGCCGCAATTGTGTTTTTGTTATGGTTTACAACACGTCTACTTTTTCTTCCCCTTTTAAATATTTTGGCCAACCGCAGTTAATATCAAAATGTTTATCTTTTCTTTGATTGGACAGCATAAAGATGTCTGAATAACCAACAAATGATAGGCAATTAGTTTCTTATTTATTAGTTATCAAAATATCAATGGAAAGCAGGTTGAATATATATATATATATATGCCAAGTAGGTGGGCCTTCTGATCTCAAAGTTGCACTGGATATTTTTATTCGACTTTAAACCAAAAACTTTTTGGGAGAAACACCATTTATATACACACATACATACATATATATATATATATATATATATATTGGTTTATTTATAATCTTATGGAACAAAGAAAATCATTTTCCATGTAGCACATTTGACATGCTAAACTGCGCTTTTTTTTCCTTGCGGTTTGCACAATTAGAAGTGTTGCTGGTATCGTACAGCTTTTTGTTGTTTAATTTCAATAATCGAGTTATTTTGATCTATTGCTCTTTTGTTTGCTTTTGAATACTTTGAAGGTTAACGTGTGAATGCATTATTTGTTTCGTATTCCTTAAATTTCTCTTTACAGGGCAAAGAGGTTATTCTCCATGCTCTAGCTTCTCTCTGCTCATCCTGCAGTAGTGCTATCTCTACTGCTGACCCAGTTGCCTCACGGGTTATTCTAAGCTCTATAATATCCTCATGTGCCAAAAAAGAAAAATGTTTTCGTGAAGCAGCCTTCGTAGGTCTTCAGCAGGTAATTGCTGCCATATTTTTTAAAGGAAATGTAACCTTTTGATACTAATTTAATTTCTTAAAAAATTTGCTATGGTATGTACTGGAATATTTTTGTGGCTTCTAATTGTCATTTCTTTTCTATTATGGGAGAGATAAACTAATTATGTTTGTGTATTATTTGCGTTTTCAGTAGGTTATTAATCCGATGACAATGGAACTATGATTTTTTTAAATTCAAGTTACAGTTAATTCTTTAATTTTAACAAGCTTGGCAGTTACTGACTTTATCCATAATTTTGATTCATCGTCTGTACTTAAATATGGTTTCCGAGAGCCTTTTAATTGTGACCGATTTTTGATAAATTTTTCTTTTGTTTGAGCTTGCAGATTATTAGAGCTTTTGATGATCCAGAGTCTTTCAGGGAGGTTGTCCCCTTTCTGTACGAGGTGTGTGATCAAGCCATTGTCTCCAAAAATGCAAAAGCTAATACCATCAATACTTCTGCTGCAATAGGTACTATTATAATAATTTCAAGTTCTAGGATTTTGTGTATGATATTTTTAGAATAACTGGTGCTAATAGCTATTTACTTTTGATAAGACCCTTTATTAGAACAGACATTAGAATCTGAAATTAGGTTTCTGCTCCTTTAAAAATGAATGTCATTATAAAAGGTTAAAATACATCCTAGTTGTACTTCCCATATTCCTAAATTTTTTTATGCATTGAGTTGTATATTGATGGGATTTTCCTATTGCTGACGTAAATAAAAAAAAAAACTCAAAACAACTTTGTTGATTTTACTGTAGTACTTGTGCTTATTTATATAGGCGAGTACAGAAGGTAGAATTGAAATAGAACATTCGTGAGGATAATCTCTATTAAGAGAATATATTTTACATAATATAGACAACACATGGTGTTTAATAACTTTCCAATCTAATAATTCTTTAATACTACTCCTCGAGCTGGGGCGTATGTATTATGAATATCCAGCTTGCTACACATTGGAAAAGTGAAGTGGTCCTAGTGCCTTCATGAAAAATATCTGCTAAATATAAAGATTTAAGAGATTATGATCTTTTTGATAGAATTACATCTCTAATGAAGTGATAATCTACATCAATGTATTTTATTTACTAATGAAAAATTGGATTGGCAGCAATATGAATGTCCAAGTGATGGCCATGCCTAAAAGTCATTGGTTGAGCGAAGAAAAGCCAACTTTTTTAATATTTTTTTTGGGATAATTACATACAGAGCATTCAAAATATTGATATTTACAAATCAAGCTATCATGTAATTTGTTTAACTACTGGGTTTTATCATGAATTTTGATATTTGAGTGAGAATTTGAAAAATGAATGAAAGCGGGTGCTTGATTTGTAAATAGTAATATTTCGGGTGCTGCTTTTTACATCATTTCACAGGGATAATGAATCATAATCTTGTATTCAAGCTTCAGCATTATTTCAAGCAAAAATATTTTACTTTTTTTACTTGTCTATGAAATAATATTTTCCCAGAAACACTATATTTTGAGGTATAATTTTGAGCACATCTAGCATAGCCAATATCAAAAAAATGCTTAAATTTTAAATAACAATATGTTTGTTGAATAGTCTTTTGTCAAAAGATAGTAAATATTAGGTCGGATACAGTATATAGACGGGTCTCCAACCAAATGATGTTAGATAATAATGTATTCATGTTTTCCTCATAAGTGGATGTCTGTAAAGTATTTATTGGTTAGCTTACATCAGTGAGACCTCAGTTCCTCAATTATATTTGTCATGCTTTCTTCGGGAAAGAGACCATTTTTGTTGTAAGCAAACTTGATATTGAGAAAATGCTAAGAACTCGGCCAAATTTTTCTAATAAATGTCTTTTAAAGATGTTTTCTCAATGCTTGAAATTTTTTCAATGAGAAGAATATTATCATTATGCAAATGACGAATGAGGATAAAATGAAAACTATGCTAATTCGCTAACGTGCATCGATATGGATTTTACAAATTTCATGAAATTAGGCATGAGTGCGTGGTTTTAAGCCATATTTGAGTATCCACAGCTTTTAAATTTTGTTATTCCTCTATGCAGCATGCCTGAAAGTTTGCTGCATATAAACTTTTTGGGAAAGATTTCCATAGAGAATAACATTGTTTCATTCGTTTCTAATATAGTCTACTTTTGATTAATTCTTAAGGAAGATGGTGGCAAGTAGAGTGTAACTGATCTGTTGTAGAAAATGTTTCAAAATAGTTAGTCATATTTCTTTGTATCCCTTAGACACCTAGGAAACTTATTGGTTGTAAATAGTAACATGTGGATGAAACTTAGCATGGAAATCTTTTGACATGAAATAGGCTTTGACGAGGGTTGTGGGATTACCGTGATCCCAGGGTTCAACGGGTCCGTACGCCACAAATCACGTGATCGCGAGATTAATTGGCCCCATCAATCCTTCTTTTAATTTTTTCCTATTTTAAGCAAGTTTCCTTTTGTTTTCTTCCTTTTCGGTTCTTTCCTATTTTTCAATTTGGTATTTTCTATTAGGGTACTTTTATATATGTTGTAGCAATGTTGTTTGATTTTCAATTTTTTGGATTTTATGAATTGTAAGAGATCTCTACCTCTTGCTCCCTAGAGTGTTGTAGTCTTCCGTTTGCGAGTTGTCTACAGTGTGCCTAGGAACACGTGGTGGTTTCTTCCATCACCATACGTACCTTGCTGATTCACTATTCGCTCGTTGTTTTCTTCTAGGCAGCTATCACAGTTGCTGCCATCTGCTTTTACACCATAAAATCGTCGTCTTCCTGCTTTTGGTTAGTCGTTCAGCCCCCAATCATGCCAAATTTTTGTCGTAATCCATCGTCCTACTCCCGATAATGCATTTTCGCATTCTAGCACACCTTCTAGGTGCCATAGAACGGTGTTATTTGATATCAGTCAGTTGAAATCTTAGTTGGAAAGATGAGACGCTATGTCGCCAAGAAAAACCCTTAACGAGGGGCTAGGGAAATTGCCATGGAGGTGTAGCGGAATATCCTCCAATTGCAGTGAGGGCTCGCTGATTTTCAGAGAATGCAGGATGGGGAGTTCTCGCACTGCAACAACGGTGACCACTTAGATGAAGGAGATGAAGAAAACCCTTTCCACCAATAAGTTCTCAGTGATGAAGAAGCAATACCTTGAAGATTCGACATTTAACATCAACGGAGAAGCTAAAATTTTGGAGTGAAGATTGAATTGTTAGATAGACAGTCGTATGGATTTGGACAAGTTTGTCGAGTAGCTCCAAGAAATGGAATGTCTTTGAGTATAATGTAATAACCAAAATAAAGTTATATATATAATATAAAGGATATGATGGACGGTTCGGGCGTTCCGCTAGGGTTTGGGATCTCTGACGCGTGGGAGGCTATTTTGAGATGCTGACGGCGTGCCTTCTCTCTCGACGGTCGAACTCTGGTGAGATCTTCCTTTCGTTTTCTGGCTTTGGCTTCTCCTTCGTACTCATCTTCTTTTCTCGCCTCTTCGTTCTCTCGCCATCTATGGAGAAAACTTATGCAAGCGTCACTGTCGGGGGATCCTCCTCCGGTGCTCCTCCGAAGTTTGCGTTTCCTTCTTTATTTCATGAATCTCTTATCCTTGGCGGAGAATATATTTTCATTAAGACGCAAGGGAGGAAGGGGGGAAGTTTGCGCTTTTCCTCTCCGACTCTGAAAACTCCATTCTTGCCTCTGCATTCTTGCCTCTGCCTTGCCTCTGCCTGTCGTTTTCACCTTGTAGGTAAGTTCCTATACGGGCTTCATAAATATGATTTCCTGCTAAAGCATTTTGAGCACTTGAACTTATCGGGGGGATGAAAGATTGATGTTCTTGATAGCAGGCATATCTTGATTCAGCTTTCTAACGAGGATGACTACGCTAAACTTTTTGCACGAAGAACAGTTCATTTTGGGGATGTTTGGATGAAATTCCTTAAATGGACAACTTAATTTGATCCTCGGACCGAGCTTCCTATTATACCAGCTTGGCTTCGGCTTCCTGGTTTAAAGGTGCATTTGTTCAACCATGAAATTTTGTTTTCCATTGTCGCGACCTTTAAATTAACGAGGCCTTCAATGGCTAGAATTCTGATTGAACGTGATGTTACCTTACCCCCCTGAGGAGGTTTGGATTGGCTCTAATCATACGGGATATTGGCAACCGGTGATTTATGAGAAACATCCTCATTACTGCTCTCATTGCAGTATGTTTGGGCATGATTGGGCACACTATTTTCACTTACATCCCGAGCTGCGGAAAGCTACTTTAGGTCATATATCTTCTGTTGAACAAAAATCCGCCCATCGAACACCTCCTATTGAACCGGTTGTTGAACAAATTGCTCTTTGATTGGAGGAAACCAGTGCTGCTCATCTTGATGGTGTAGCACACGTGGGCCCTTTGCCTTTTGAGAGGTCTGAAGAGAATGTGGAGTCGTTTGATGCCACACAAAATCTTCCTGAACAGGAAAATGTGGTACAACTCCCTAGTGCACTACCGGGAGATTTACACATTCAGGATTCCCAACAACCATCTACACATCACACTATTATACTTTCTACTACTCCACCGCCTGACCCAACTGTTGTGGCTGTCTTTGATTTGGAATCCGAATCGACAATTCAAAAATGTAGCAGGAAACTAGGTAGAAGGAAATCAGAAGTTCTTAATATGACAAATTCAAATAATATTGATGTCACTTATCATTCTGAGGGTGAGCACTTGCATCTTTTCCATAGGAATACTAGGACCGGGGGAGGGGGGGTGTTATGGGCCAACATGTTTAACATTCTTGTATGGAACATTAGGGGAGTGGCGGACCCCCACCCTTTTTCTCCTTTAATGGTTTAAAACATTTATGTAGGGTCTATAAGCCAGACATTTTTATTCTTTTGGAGCCGTTTGTGTCGGTTCATAAGGAGGATATCATTAAGAAATTCAGAGAAATTCAGAGGTTACATGCAAGAGGTTACATGCACTATAGTAAGCAGAACAATAAAATTTGGCTCTTTTGGCAAAAGGATATCACTTTAAACATTATTGATGATAATGTGCAGTATGTTTTAATTCATTATCAGGTAGAGGGTTTTCATGGTTGTGAAAAAGCATATAAAGATAAGTTCAAAATTGCCAATGACATTAAAGAAGTAATTGCGGTCGTAGGTTTAAATAAAATAGTTCAAATAATCACTGATAATGCACATGCGTGCAGAGTTGCAGGAGCATTGATTGAAGCTCAATATCCTCATATTTTTTGGACTCCTTGTGTTTTTCAAACATTGAAATTAGCATTGAAAAATCTATATGCTCAAAAAAATATCAAAGGAAATGAGAACTTATGAGCATTGCAGCTGGATAATTGACATTGAAGGATATGTCAATTTTAAAATGCTTTTATTATAAATCATGCAATGAGACTCAATATTCAACGAATTTTTGAAGTTGAAAATGTTGGTCATTGC